ATTATTTGATGGAGAAGCTGACCGTGATCAAGGATGCATTCTACCATTGAATTGTATGATTTCATGCTTGTTTTTGGATGATTCTTTGAAGACGACAAGCTTAAAAGTCAGGTCCTGTCACATTTTTTTATAAGTGAAAATGTACGTTTCTTGTAGAATGTCCCATTAAAACAGATTGACAAAATAGCATGCAGTTTCACTCAAGAGCATCTACTACAATTTCTTTACTAATTTTAATGAGAAGTCACAAAGTACAAAATCAAGAACCACCTTACTGGTTTTCACAATTTAAAATGGCCTACCACAGAGGGTTAACAAGCAGATTTAATGACATTAACTCCCGTCACCTTTCCCAGAAAAAGCACAAACATTCCCTAAATATATATTTGTTTTGACTCCATCAGCTGAATCAGTAATGACCATATGCAGCTGAGCAGAGTGTTGGATTACCATCAGTAAACAATTTACCACATCTGTTTGACATAATCCTCCGGTCAACAGCATTCTCGGCAGCTAAGAAAAATAAAATCCTTTTTTTAGTCTGGCTAAATGCACATCCATATCATGCAGTCTACACGACGATGTCAAAACATTTAAACTACAATAGTAAATTAAGCATCTCTACAATAGCATGAAAAATGTGGCAGATTTACAGCCTTGAGTAACAGTTTGATGAAGGGGTTGTGCAACATTTAATGTGTTCAGTAGTGCATGACATTTCTCTTGCAGCGTTCGACAGTAATTTTTCATTAATTCTTTGGTGGTGACACTAAGAGGGGTTTTACTTTGCTAATTAATCTAATTAGCAAACCCCTCAGAATAACAAAAGCAGGAGATGTGAAAGGAAAAGGCAGAGGTCTAGCAAACAAATGTAAGCCTTATTTTCAGAAATACAGATTTACTTCGACCTGCTCGTTCACACGTTCTGAGAACCGTGACCTACTTCTAACAGCTAGACCAAAATTACCCATGAAGCACCAGTGAAAAATGCTTTAAGGAGAATTGTGTTATCCTGGTTTATGTGAGCGAGAGGCAATCGCTCGTGTGTGTGTGTGTGTGTGTTTGTTCTACATAAACCTCTCCAAAAAGCTCACTTGACATGTTCATGTTTTCAACTGCGTTTAAAAAAAATGCAGGAAGATTTAGTTAAAATGCACAGGCTTGGGGAAAATATGGCATTTTAGCTTTTACATTTAATTAATGTTTAAGATGCATTATTATGAAAAGAGAAATTTGTCCATAAATTAGACATGACAACCTATGATCATATAATTAAAAAAAAAAAAAAACGACTCTCTATTAACTGATCTATATAAAGAAATTTGTGTGAACAGGTTTAAATGTGATCACTATTACTGTTTGACTCCAAAGGTATGTAGAAAACCACTATAAAGACATCATATTATTGTTTGTACATATAGATTATTTATCTGAATAATTTTTATAATTGATATTGTCTAACTGCAAATAGATAATACTATAAAAGTTTCTCCAGACTTGATTCCGCAGCTCTGCACAGTTTTGCTCCAACCCTGATCAAACACAGCTGATGCAATTAACAGTGTTAAGTGTCAATCGAGACTCTTTTGAACTCCTTGATTTTTTGGATCAGCAGTGTTTAATAGGGTTGGAGAAAGACTGTGCAAAGTTGGGCCCTCCAGGAATCCAGTTTGAGACCTATGCCATAAAGTTTTTTTTCTCTGTGGTAATTTTATTTTTAATTATTTTAAATTTAACATGTTTGTTCATTTAGGTAGCAAGGGTTATGGAAAAAAAAACACCTTGATTGTACAAAAGGTTTTGTTGAAACCAGGAAAAAAAAAACTACTAATAAAATATTTTTAAAGTCGCAGTATTAAAAAATTTTTTTAACAATGGTTTCCAAAAACATTGCAAAATTACTGTAACATCAAACGCATTTAGACTATCATAGATATTATTTAAAAGGAGTATGTGAAAATCAAGATTCAGGAAATTATTTAGCTGGCTTCAATTCAGGAGACTTTTGCACATGTTACATCCCTGATGTTATGCCTTTAGGAGCGAGAGCATCAGTGAAAAGTTTAGAGTTGGCTAGGGGGAGTGTGGATAAGTCTTCTGCCTTTGCAACAAGCCAATTTTAGTTTAAGAATTTAAAGGAAAAAAAGTAAAGAAAAAAAAGTATGAGGGGGAAAAAAAGACTTGGAAGTAAAAAAAAAAAAAAAAAAAAAAAAAAAAAAAAAAGGCTTCATAAGGGTGAAAAGGCCAAAATAAAAAAAAAACCACTCTAGCTAGTTAGGGAGTAAAAGTGTCTAAAGCAGGGCTGTCCAAACTCAGTCCTGGAGGACCAGTGTCCTGCAAAGTTTAGTTCCAAACCCAATCAGACACACCTGGGCTAGCTAATCAAGCTCTTATTAGGCTTTCAAGAAACATTCTTGCAGGTGTGAGGGAAGTTGGAGCTAAAATCTGCAGCACACAGACCCTCTAGAGCCAAGTTTGGACACACCAGCTCTGACAAAGTAAAAATTTTATTAACAACAGAAATGTAACTCCCGAACTAAACATAAACAAGAGAAAGAGGGTTTTAGAAATTAAATGGCACCCACCTCCCTACAGCTTCCAAACACGAAGTTAAGTTTTAATGGCAGATTGTAAGTGGTTTTTAAATGCTTTACAACAGATTTTGACTTCAATAAATTAACCACAACACACTTCCATAACCCAAGTAGGCAGGACAGAGACCACACTCTGAAGGCAAGCTTTAATGTGGCTTGCAACTGATCAGCTTTTAAGCTTGCAGGACAACGAGCAGCAGGTGCAATTAATCAACTTGGATAGATGGATGGATGGATGGATGGATGGATATTCTCCGTTTTCAACTTTATTTTAGTCAGCATTTCAGTACTTTGGTTGCCTGCCATTTTTTTTCAAATATTTTTTGTGTAGTTTTTGTTTTTATTTGATCTTTTATTTTGGTTTTAGTTATTTTAGGTTTAACAAAAATAAACGTTTAACTTAGTTAATGATTATTTTCAGGTAACAAAAATATAGTCAATTATTTATATGTAGTTAAAAACCAACAGTTGCGTAAAAAGAAAATCTAAGTAATCTATAGATAGAATGATAGATGGCTAGCTAGCAAGACAGACAGATAGATGATTCTTACATGGATACATACACACAGACTACAAAACATGTCCCAGGCCATTTCATCACTTGTTACTTTGTTTTAGTCCACGTGGGGGAGCTGTGATCTCATGGTAGATCCATTAGGGCAGGGTTGCCCAATCTTGTTCCCAGAGCTCTAACTTCCTGCAGAATCCTGATCAAACACAACCAACCAACACTTTACCAACAAAGCAGCAACTGAAGGTGCGCTTGGTAATAGCAGACAGGTGTGTTTGATAAAGGTTGCAGCTGAACTCTGCAGGATGGCAGATTTCCAGGAAGTGGATTGGGCACCCCTTAATTAAAGGATCTAGACCAGCGTTTCCCAATTCTGTTCCCAAAGGCACACCAACATTACACATTTTAAATCTCTTCCTTATCAAACACCTGAATCAACTCATTGGAGAGACTCCAAAACCTGAAATGAATGGGTCAGATAAGGGAGACATCCAAAATATGTACTGTTGGTGTGCCTCCAGGAACAGTGTTGGAAAACCCTGATCTTCTAGACCACAATAGAATTGTTTAAGATATACATCAAACTATTATTTTAATAATGTAACACCAATTTAAAAACAAAGAAATGTGACTGAATAAATATAACAAATTATTACTAAACTTTATACATATTGAATAGATTCATTGGATAAGCCCAGGTTTTGCAAAATTTGTTTTCTTCTGGGCCCCGTTTCAGAGAGGAGGTTAAGTGAAAACAGAGCGTGTTAACCATGAAATGAGAGAAGCTCTGGGTTTTACGTTTTTAAAAGAGAGGTAACTTTGACTCGGAGTCAGTTACCGTGGAAACTTACTGTAAACCTAACTTGGTCAGGAGCAGGTTTTATTCTCTAAACTGAGTTTCTGTTGGTATCCTTCCTTTACTTAAAGACAAAGCATCATTTCTCACCCTAGCCTTAGTCATTCATTGCCTACATTTCAGTCACACAAAGAACAAAGCAACAAAAAGGCTTGCTCCTTTTTTTGGGAAAAATTACAGTTAGCTTCAATACCATAGTTTTAAGTTTTACCTTTGATATTACTGCAAAAAAATTAATTATTAGCTTAAATTCACTGACCTTCGACAGAGACGTGTACTGTAACTAGATTAATGGGATCTTTCTATTTTAATACTGCTTACATTCTAAATGTCATATCAACCTCCACCACTTAACAAAAGGTAGACACATACACACGTGCACTTTTACATCTTTCAAAAACTCAGTTTTAGAAATTTTATCTTAAACTGATCAACGTGTGTAAAAGTGGGAACCTTAAACATTCCCACTGAACATTAGGTTGCAGTTATATGCCTTCTTGCTTTGTCAGAAGTGTTGTAGAAACGATACAGTAGCCTATGTTATGTAATTTAATTCAATTACATCTGAAATAACTTTGTGAAAAGTCTAAACATCACACATTACATTACATTTTTTTATTATACTTAAATACTTATAATAGTTTAAATACAAACTTGCACATTAACTTAAGCAGCTATAGTCTCACTGATGCAGTGGTGTTGCTTTTTTAATATATGGTCATATTTGCTAAAACTTTGCATGAGCACATCAAGTTTAGCTGGAGAATAAAAAAGCTAATCTATTTTTTTTCTCATAATATTTGCGCTCTATTGATAATGCCTTTTTATAGTCACTGTGTGCACGCTTGACTCTGAATAATCAGACTTGTTTAACCTCTGAGTTTTTAATCTCTCATTAAGTCAACTCAGAGTTCAAGTTTAAACTCCCGAGTTAGTTGAACCTCCTTACTGAAACAGGCCCCAGGACAGAAATTGAAAATAGCCAGTGAAGTAAAAGTGAATTAAAACCCAAAAAACTAAATACATAAAACAACCAACATAAGTGAATAAAGCATTTATTTATTTCATCATAAATATTTAAAAATGGTATGTTAACAATGAATTTCATTTTACAAAACAATTGCAAGATCCTGTCTGGGACAAAACAGCCCAAGACATTCATAATGGAATGATACACAATCTAAAACAACCACATTCCTGTCCTCCTTCACCAATAGTGCAAGATGAGATCAATGCATCGGCTCCTTAAAGGACATTCACTTTTTTCAGGATGTTGAAAGGCAGACAAAAATATGCATGATGGAGACACATCACCTGGTTGTACAAGGTAGAATTTCCCCAACACTACTTTTTCTCTCTTTTTTTACATAGGAAAAGAAAATGACCAACACTTCGTCGTCTTGTTTGCAGATGCAGTCAAAAATGGGGACACAAACATCCAAATATACAAAAAAAAAAAAAAGTGTCTAAAATGGCAATAAAGGCGAGACTGAAAGGAGCTGAGAGGCTTCTGACTCATTCATGTCTCAATAATCAGGGTCAGTATGCAGAAAACAATGAGGAAAATAAGTAGAAACAGGAGCCCTCGAGGCAATGACAGAGTTCAACACAAATGCCCAGATGAGGGCATAAGGCAAAATTCAAGCCAGACCGAAACGCAGTCGGCAGAGTAACCTTCTTCTCGTGATAAACATTATATAAATATTATAAAAATGAAGCCGAAAGGCTGATTGTCGCATCTAGTTTTGTTTGTGGTGCTGCATCAGTTTACTCTTTCTTATGGTGTATGTCATTGTTGTTCTTTGGACTGATTGTCTTTTGCAGGATTTTAGGAAGCCGCTTGCCTTTTGTGTATGCATGGTGCCAGAAATTGAGGAAGAGGAGGAGGAAGATGATGCCATACAGAGCAATGATGTACATGAATAGAGGATAGGGGTAAGGACAGTCTTTCATGAAGAAGTACTGGCTGATGTGAACGGTTACGAGGACAAACTGGATCTGAAAGAAGTGTGCAAATATACAATAGTGTCAAATGTAAGTCAGTTTAGCTGGAAATAAAAACTAAAAGAGTTCCAAAGTTCTATAGATCACATTTAGGTCAATAGTTCTGGGGTCAGTATGAATTTTAAATATTTTAAAATAAGCTTAAAATTTTATTGCACTATAAAATAACTGATCAAAAATAGTTTAACTTAATTTAATCATTTATTATAGTGATTTTGATGATACATTTTCAGCTTCATTACTCCAGTCTTCAGAGTCACGTGATCTTTCAGAAATCACTCTAGTATTAATTATCATTATTATTATTACTGGTAATGGTAATAAAAGCAATAATGACTGGAGTAGTCATTTTATTTGAAACAGTGCTTCCCAATGGTTTGGAATATAGTTACGGTGGTAGCTGGATTGAACTGCACTATTTACCCACATCACATACTGTATAGTTAACTTTATGCAAACAAGAAAACCTAATTTAATTTAACCATAATTTTATTTACTATGACACTGTTATACACTGTTTCTTTACAATGGATTAAAGTAAAAGACTGTTAAAATTAAAAAGATATCCACTATTTCTCTTTCTTTTATGCTATTCAGGAGTGATCCGACAGGTAACCTCTGCTTCTCTCTATTTAAAGTTCAAAGCAAACTTGAATGCCAAAGCATTTTAGATATGTATATAAAATAGTCCATGTAATATATTAACATCATCTAAATCAATAAAATATACAGTAAATAAGAAATAAATGACACAAAACAGACAAGATCTCTAATAATGATAATAATTGCAAGATTAAAATGTGTAGATTTAAATAAGACAAATGCATTGACCATTACTAATAGTGTACAAATAATTTGCAGCCAGTTTAGACCAGTCATTTTGTCCTCTCTGAGTCTTTAGATTCCAGAATTAATTATTTAATGTTTCTCACACTGTTCGCACAGTTAGCTGCGAAGCCAAGCGATATTAGGCTCAAGTACATTGGATGAGATTTAGAAACCTGGCCGGACGAATTTTCAGTGCCAAAAAGCAGCATCTCTGCTAGTCTGCAGTGCACGTGAGATTACCTGTGGGAGTGTTGACAGGTCTCGCGGGCACAGAACGAAACAAATGAGAAGATTTCCACTACTTACAGATACAAAATAGTTTAAAAGGATGATAATAATAGAGAGAAAAAAAAAAAAGTGTCACTAAATGTACTTGGGTGGCCGTTAATATACCCATGTATATTAATGGCCCAAGTAAAGACTGTGTGGGAAGCACTGAAACTACATACAATAATAATTTTACAAATATTTTTTACATTTAATAAATAATTAAAAAAAATAAAAATAAAAGGACAACGACAAAAATAAATAAAATAATAATAATAATAAAACTGACCCCAAAATTTTGACGGGTAGTGTATGCGATTCGAAATCCAATTAAATCAGATTTCTCATACCATTGCAAAATAGATGTAATAAATAGACTTCATTAATTATATACAATAAAACAGTGGGTATGTCAGTTCAAAAATGAATACATTAGGAATAAACAATGAAAATTAATTAGCAATTTAAATCAATAAAATATAAATAAAATAATCTAGATTAATCCAACTTGAACTAATCCCAAAAAAATAAATGGAAAAAAATATATGTAGAAAATTTTACAACAAACATTAATGCACTGAAATGAAAATTTAGAGCAGACTCCAAAAACTAAATTAAATTTAAACTTTAAAAGTTTTTATTAAAATGTAATATAACAATTAATACTATATTATTTACTATAAATACATATTGAAAAGTATAGATAATAAATAAAAGACAAAAAAGACAAATGCTCCTCATCTATTCTAAAAAAAGAACATTGAAAATACATACCAGCTGTAAGGAAGTCAGATGCTTCTTCCACCACAAAAATCTCTGAAAGGAAGGGCCCAGAGCTGACAGCAAATAGTATGTATACATGATGACATGAACAATGCAGTTTAGAAGAGCATGAAATGTGCCCAAGCCACCTGTAAAAACAGCAAGAACATGTATATTAAAGAGACTGGTACCCAACTCTGGTTCCCAAGACTGCCGTTTGATCACGAAGAGCATTTAAAAAAAATGACAAATGAATAGAGTTGAATATTAAAAGTGGTAATGCTTTAAATAATGTTTAGTGTGTGCTTCACAGGATCTTAATGTATCAGCAGGAGCAATGAGTATTAATTGTGTTGCTCTGTAAGTACGAGCAGTCATTGACGTTTTCTAAAAACCACCAAAGATCAGTTTCAGATTAAATAAACAATATAGATTGTTCTACAATTTGTTCCCGCCAGGCAGATGATTTTAACGCACGCACGCGCGCACACACACACACACACACACCAAGTCATTAAGGCATGAAAAAACTAGAGGCAAACCTGGAGAAAACCGCACTCCAAACCACCAAGTAAATGGCATGATGGAATGATGGAATACATGCAGAAACGTGATCTGTTTGGGCTTTTTCCTCAGCACAAAGAAAACCTGGCCAGAAAAGACAGATGAAGAGAATATTAACATTTCATTCAATTTCTGTGAACCGCCAACTTATTCAATATATGTTTTACACAGCGGATGTCCTTCCAGCTGCAAACTCCACACAGAAATGCCAACTGTCCCAACTGGGACTCGAACCAGAACCATGCTGTGAATCGACAGTGCCAACAATTGAGCCACCGTGCCACCCAATATTAACATTTAACATTTATATATGAAGAGTTTCAAAAGTACAGTGGTAGTTACTATATAGCTTTATATGGGTTCTAAATGTTTTGTTATCTAAACCACTCAAACCACATTAATGTAGTAGATTGTAGTTTTATTTGTAAAGCGCATACTAATGCCTCATTTTAATTCTCTATAAAGGAATATCAACACGTTTGCTTACGGTAACTGACAGCATGCCATATATGCTATCAATATGGTTTAAATTGCATTGCTCCTCTACAAGAAAAGCCATCACTCCAGGGATAACTGCACGATTTTAGCCCTGATTTTCACTCACCGACAGGTTGAGAAAAATCATCTACAAATGCCTGAAATTAAAGGGAAATTAGGGCTTATTCATACACCAATTCAAAATCTTACAGAAAAACACACTGGCGTTGACCTACAGCAAATGAGAATGCAAGATAAAAGGGCAGCGAGGAGTTCAGGGAGGAGTTCTAGACGAAAATCTCAGAATAAATAAGCTTAACACAAACAAAGAGACATTTGCCTGACCAGCAGTAGCAGAATTCAAAATTATTTATTGACCTCCAACTTTTTTTTCTTCCCCTACTTGCCATTTCGATAAAAAAAACAGCACACAAACCATCTGAACGGTAAATTATAAAAAAAAAGAAATACTTATTGCAGGGTACCAATACCAGTTTTGCTGAT